TTGTAACTTTGGGCAAGTTACCTAATCTTTGTGAGTCTACTCCTCATCTTGATAGTGAAGGTAACGCTCTTTGCTCTGTTCTGTTTAGAGGCATATGAGAAACTAAATCCTTAGCATGCAACATAGTGCAGCACAGATGTTTAATAAAGGTGAATTCTTTTTAGTTCTCAATAGGGTAGACTGCATGTCCTTTTGGTTAACCTTTATATTTAGCAATGCTCCAGTGACATTTAACTAGTGAATATAGGTCTAGAAATTCTGTTACTGAAATGTGAAAGAAATTATTTAAATAATTCTTTGGATGTGCATAGCTCTCTTAATCTCTCCTAAGAACTGAGATTGTTTTCTCAGAGAGCTCATTAATCTTTATAACATTACTGGGCAGTTAAGAGAGCAGGGTATTACCCCGAATGCAATCACTCATTCATTCATTCCTTCAGCTATTTTTTGATGGATTGGCCTAGTTGTGATGAAGGAGATAAATACTGTCCATTCTGTCAGGGAGTTTACATTTTTAGAAGGGAGAAAAGCAACAAAGATGTAGACAAATAACCTATATAATTTCAGAGAGTGATAAATTGTATGAAGAACAAAAAACCAGAGCAATGGATAGAGAGTAACTGAAATAAAGGCACTACTTCAGCAAAAGGTTGTTAGAGAAAGGCCTGATGGGATATTAGCAAATAATTAAATTATAAGAAGCCAGCTCATACAATGATTAGAGGAAGGAGTGTTCTAGAGAGAAAAAAAAAAAAGTTGAAAGGATGGAATAGCTGATGCCATTTATCCATAGCTATTAACTCAGTAATGTGTTTAACATTGAGACCTAGGGCCTGTGATTCCTCTCTCCTGTTCTGCACAGCTAACACTATATCTCTATTGTTTTCTGGTATTTTTTTGGAGTTTTTAATTTTTGTTTTGTTTTGTCTTGAGATGGAGCTTTGCTCTTGTTGCCCAGGTTGTAGTGCAATGGCATGATCTCGGCTCACTGCAACCTTTGCCTCCCTGGTTCAAGTACTTCTCCTGCCTCAGCCTCCCAAGTAGCTAGGATTACAGGCATGCACCACCATGCCTAACTAATTCTGTATTTTCAGTAGAGACGTGATTTCACCATGTTGGTCAGGCTGGTCTTGAACTCCTGACCTCAGATGATCTGCATGCCTTGGCCTCCCAAAGTGCTGGGATTACAGGCCACTGGGTCCGGCCTTAAATATGTTTTCTACTGTTATCCTAGAAAGCAAGTAAAGTGGCTAACAGGTCACTGATTCAGTGGAAATGGGGCAGATTTCTTCCTGTACCCCAAATCTATGAAACAGGTATATAAGAAAGTTGAAGCTCATATGTAATGTAATGAATGTGTATACCTATTTTTCTGGTTACATTTTCAAGCACATACTATAAGACATTTGCTTATAAGTTTAAATCATTTGCCTTGAGAAGATGTCGGGATGTCAGTAAACATTTGTTGAACACCTGCTATATTCTGGGCACATCTTAATCTTCACAGGATACTGGAAGCTGAATGTTATTAAATCCGTTTTACAGATAAGGAAATTAAAGAGAAAAAGGAAATCAGAGTCACACAGCAAGTAAGAGTGCTCGACTGAAACTAGGTCTCTTGCTGCCAAGTAATATTCTAATTATTATTTTTTTTGGCTAATATTTGCATAAAGAAAAGTAGCACCAAGAGTGAAGTCCAAGTGATTCATAGCTGTGATTTTCTCCATGACTCGTTCATATTCTTCCCTTTCTGTCACTGTCTTTCTACATGCACTTTGTTCCTTCTGTTTAATCCACTTTATTCATTCATTTGTTCAACAAACTTATTCAGTGCCTACTTTGTTCCAGGCACTATACTAGGCACTTGGGATATTTCGTGAACAAAACATGCCTGTTTTCGTGGAGCTTACATTCAAGCAAGGAGAGGCTAACAATAAAAAAATAAATATAATAAGTAAATTATGTGGGATGTCAAAAAGTGATAACTGTTATGAAAAGAAGAAAATTAGAACAAGGTAAGAAGGAAGATAAGTGGTAGGTCACCATGTTAAATAGGGAGATTGGGATGGACTTCATGGAGAAGGTAATATTTGAGCAAATAAATGAAGGAAGTGAGTTAGCCAAACATACATCTAGAGAAAGAACTTTCTAGGCAAAAGGAACTGCTAGAGGAAAGGCCCTAAGAGATAGATGTGTCTTTGGCATGTTCAAAGATTAACAGAAAGGCTGATTTAGGGGTAGCAACATAGGTGAAGTAGAAAGACATAGGAGAAGTCAGAGAAGAAATGGGTTCTAAATCATATAAGGCATTGTAGAGACTTGGCGTTTACTCTGCATGAAATGGGGAGCCTATCACAAGTTGGGTTTTCTCAGGAAACAGACCCTGAAACAAAGTTAATCCTGTAGAAAATGTATTAAGCAGTGCCCTTGGGGTCAATACCTGGGGAAGAAATGAGAAACTAGCAGGAAGACGAAGAAAGAAGTGAAGCTCTGAAAAAGACTCAATGGCAGTGTCAGTCATATCCGCAGGAAGCTGTGGAGCTAGAATGGCCCTTCAGAGTTGGGGTAATATTTACAGGTCTTTAAACTCCTACATTAATCAGTCTTTGGATATGTGCTGCCTCGGGAAGGGGTGTAGCCTTGGACAAGGTTGCTTTCAGCAGCTGAGGCAATCTAAAGAGTGAGAGCTGAAGACGCATAATAAGTTCATCATTGAAGTACAACCTGGGTGTTATATCCCATGTCCATAAAGCCACTGTGGATTTTCAGTAGAGAATTGACCTGACTTATATTTCTAAAAAATCTCTCTTCTGTTTTGAGGACAGGCTATAGGGGAGAAAGTAAGGAAGCAGGGAAACTAAGTTAGAGTATTGTAGTATCCAGTGTGTGAAATGATGGTATCTGAGACGTAACAATGGAGGTGGTGAGAGATATTTAAATTTGGGGTATATTTTGAAGGAAGAGTAAGTAGAATTTTCTCACAAACTACAAGTGAAATGTAAGGAAAGAAAGGAGTCATGGATGGCTCCAAAAAACAACTGGGAAGATGGAGTTGCCACTGATAGAGATGAAGAAGGCTGTGGTTTGGATGGGTGCTAGGAAGAGGAGAGGCTAGGACATCAGTTTTGGGGAAGTTCAGTTTGAAGGTGTTTTTAGGACATCTAAGTGATGCTGTTGAGCAGTTATTAGATATATGAGTGTGCAGTTTATGGGAGAGGTCTGGCTAAGCTGGATATATAAGTTGGAAATTTCTCCATGTAAACGATACTTAAAACCGTGGGACTGTATGAGATCACCCTAGGGAGTGGGTGTACATAGAGAACAACAGATGACCATGGACAGAGCCCTGGATCTTAAAGTGATCAGAGAGAAGAGGAGACACAAACAAGAGACAGAGAAGTCACTACCAGTGAGGTAGGAGGTAAACGAAGAGTGTAATGTCCTGGAAGTCCTTTTCAGCCTTTGTCCTGCCTCGTAAATCTTTGTGACAATTTTTTTTTTCACTTAATCTCAAATGCCAGCTCCTCCACTGTACTTTTTTTGTTTTTCAGCTCCTTTGAATAAACCTGCCTACCACCAAGAACCCTTAAATGACTTTGTTTTCATTGTATCAAAGTCATGTGTCCACCAGTCTGAGCACCAGCAACTCACTTCTTCCTTAGACGTCTCTAAAGCTGGAAAGATTTTGAGGGACAATGTGGTTTCTTTCAACCCACCCCAATGTTGTGAATGAGATCATCAGACCAACAGCAAACACCTAGAAGGTAAGAGGTTATTGTTTTAAATCTTCTGTCCCCACCCTATAACACAGCAGAAAACAAATGGAAGTGTCACAAACTGCTGAGGTGGCTGAAGTGAGAGGATCCCTGAGTGCAGTTCAAGTCCCATCTGGGCAACATAGTGAGACCTCCATCTCTAAAAATCTAAAATAAAAGAAGGAAGTCAGGACCAATGAAAGGAGAGCCCGAGTTAACCTACCACTCTATTATATCAGTCTTCTGTATTACACATACATGGCCAAGCACTACCCAGATGCTACCATTCAGTGATCTGCCTCTTCTTACTAGCGTTTACTTATGGAACACAAAATATTTCTGGTGCAGATGGCCTCAGCAGGGTCCTCAGTAATCAAGCCCCTCCCTGGCATAGTACTGACCTTGCAGAGCCTTTGCTCATCCCACTCACCCAGGCCTATTGAAACTGTTGGTTCCCATAGACATCTGTTATTTATTATTTGCTGAATATTTGTTAATTACTGTGGATATTCGTTGGCTTTAGGGCCCCCCCTTGCTTAAACACTGAAGTAGACAAATCATTGTGCACACACGATCAGGTTCAGCCACACAGTAGTTCAAATGGTTGTTGGCCCACTTCTTTCCAATCCTCAGATACTTGGAATACTACTAGTTACCCTGTGTGAGAGTGTGACTGTTTCTTAGGAGATTCCATTCTGCATGAGAAGAGAGAAAAGAATTGAAGAATAATGGGATGGCTGGGAGAAGGGTAGAGAACCCCAAAGTTTACTAAACCTCACCTCTTATTCCTTGTCTGTCACTCACTTTTTTTCCCCTCATTCACTAGAATGTGAGTGCCCTGCTCACATGAGTACCACTAGCTGCAGGGCACGAAAAACAGATGTCTCAAGAGTAATTGTTGAAAACTATCACCCTGCACAAGGAAAGGCAGCTTTTGGAATAAATATTAACATACCAGTATTGTCTGAAATTGATGATGCCTTTTAAAGTGGGCAGTTTCACGGAATGGAAATGTAGTTTGTAATTTTGCATGACAAATGGGGCCATTGAACTGCATGACAGCATTACATAATTTGCCTGGAATGAAGACCACCTTTTCAGGCCAGCATTCAAGACCCCTCATGATCTGGCTACTTTCCAGCTTTCTAGCTTAACTATTTATTACTACACTATTTACTACTACTGCCTGCTCCTTATGTTTCAGGCCATTTCCTTCAACAGTCCAAGTTGTTTCAAGTCTCTTGGTTTTTATACTTGTTTCTCCTGCCTGGAAGGCGCTTCCTCTCACTGCATTACCTGGGTGAAAACATGCTCAATTTTTTAGGACTCACTTAAACGTTTCATATCTGAAGTCTTTAATTAATGCCACAGCTTGGTCAGTTGATCACTCCTTTGTACTCCTATATCCTTTATCCCTTTGTTACAGTATTTACTGCTACCTCCTGTTCCCCAGAATGACAGCTTCTCTGTGATCTCTTTAAAGGCAACAGCTGTGTGGTTGAATTCCTCTCCATATCCTAGACATTGCCCAGCACAGATAAGGTTCTTTCTGGGACATCAGAAAGTATTTTTTTGACTAATTGGCTGGCTAAGAGAAGCAATACTGGCCCTGGGTATTTTATTCTCAAGACAAATAGAAGGGATTTGCTACGAGAGTCCACAGAAGCAATGGAGAAGAAGAGAACTGAGGTGGCAGTAACAATCTTATGGCCATTATTTCAGATGATAACTTTCAGTGCTTCTGTGAGGTCAGATGTTTGCCTCCCCTGTCTCACAAAAAGAAACTGAGAAGGGAAGTGGCAGGTCTCCCAGGTCCTACAGCCAATCAGCAGAGGGGCTAGAACTCCAACCTTGGGATCCCAATACCAGACCCTAAACTTCCTGCTCCAGCTCCCCTAAATCTGGGCAGGACTTAGATGCATTCAGGATAAGGGGTTTCTCCATATGTTGCTTCTGACCCTGGGAATGCTGTCATGATCGTGGGTGGTCCGTGGTGCTTTCCAGGGTGAGCCCATTTACCCTAAGAGGATGTACTACCTCTCCAAGTAACCATGGAGTCAAATGTCTATGTCTGGCCAGGCTCAGGACAACAAAGATGTTTTCTCAGGCGTCACTGAGCTGTACATTGTGAACAAATTCAGGGGGAAGCAGCAGATACTGGAGAACCTTCTTGCTCCGCTTCTACCATCTATTGCCAGTGAGACATGAGGAAATCAGTCAACTTCTCTTCTTTTTGGACCCATTATTTCCTGAAACAAAATGAAAGGCACAGGTAATTGAGGGTGGCATATGGTACTGATAAGCCATGCACCTCACAGGCTTTTTGTGATGCTTTAGTCATATAATGAACAATGAAACACTTGTGAGGTATAATGGGATATTTAAGTGTAAAACAATGTTACCATAAGTCAGTGAGTTAATATTATTCTTGCAGGAAAATGCAGATAGGAAATAAGTATAAAATCCAGAAACTGGTTTAATATCTGCAGTGCTGGCCGGGCGCGGTGGCTCAAGCTTGTAATCCCAGCACTTTGGGAGGCCGAGGCGGGTGGATCACAAGGTCGAGAGATCGAGACCATCCTGGTCAACTTGGTGAAACCCCGTCTCTACTAAAAATACAAAAAATTAGCTGGGCATTGTGGCGTGTGCCTGTAATCCCAGCTACTCAGGAGGCTGAGGCAGGAGAATTGCCTGAACCCAGGAGGCGGAGGTTGCGGTGAGCCGAGATCGCCCCATTGCACTCCAGCCTGGGTAACAAGAGCGAAACTCCGTCTCAAAAAAAAAAAAAAAAAAAAAAAAAATATCTGCAGTGCTCATCTATGCCATGATAGGAATTATAAGAGAGTGTAGAGCTGTAGTTTTTGGGATTTGAAGTTGAGGAACTTTTTATCTATTGGTAGTTTAAAGTTTACATTAACAATGTCATAAACCTGGACCTGTAACTGGCCACCTTTGAAAGTATATAGAGAAGATTTGAATGAGAATAAAGGTACCACAGAGGGGAAAGCAAATCACAAAATGAAACAAGCAAAAACTTTATCATGATTATAACATTTGAATCAATTTTTTTTTTTTTTTTTTTTTTTTTTTTTTTGGAGTGGAGTCTCACTCTGTTTCCCAGACTGGAGTGCCCTGGTGTGATCTTGGCTCATGGCAACCTCCATCTCCCGGATTCAAGTGATTCTCCTGTCTCAGCCTACAGAGTATCTGGGACTGCAGGTGCCGCCCACCACCATGCCTGGCTAATTTTTGTGTTTTTAGTGGAGACAGGGTTTCACCGTGTTGGCCAGGCTGGTCTTGAACTCCTGACTGGAGGTGATTGGCTCACCTTGGCCTCCCAAAGTTCTGGGATTATAAGCATGAGCCATTGTGCCCATCCTGAATCTGTGGATGTAGAGAGGCTCTAGGCCTCTTCTTCCCTCTGTTTCTTCCAGTATTACTAGCCAATATATTGCTTTCACTTTCTGGCTCTTACAAAAAAAAGGAAAAAAAGATTTTAATTAATGTGTTTCTTTGTTCTTCTTTTTAATTCCCATAAAATTCTGTACTAGGAGAGGAAATGCCAATTTTGTACTTAGATGTATAGAAGATTGTTAACTGGGTATATGGAAATTAAGGATATAAGCGTATACAGACAAGGACTGGTGGCAAGGTCAGAACAACAGAATTTAAGAGCTGTGCGGGCCTTAGGATTATCTAGTCTACCTCCTCATTTGTACAGAGTATGAAACAGGTCCAGAGAGGGGAAAAGTCCTATAGGAGTCAGGTCTTAAATCAGTATGTCTGACTCCCAAGCCACATAGCTGCTACTCCTTCTCCTTCTTTTGTCCCCCCTGCCTTTTTTTTTTTTTTTTTTTTGGTAAAGGAGATAAAATGTTAGAGATATACTTTTAGTTCTTATTTTATTCCAACCCCATTTTTTCCTTTAGTCACTAAACTGTAGTTGATACAAGTTTATTTTTTTACTATATGTTTATCCCCAAAATATATCTGGTTTTTGTATTTTAAACTTTTACCCATATAGTGTACCATGCCAGTATTTCTGTATCCTGCTTTTTTCGCTCTATTTTTGTGACCTTTTCATATGGATATATAAAATGCCATTTTGTGCCTATACCACAATGTATATATTCCCAAAGAATGAATATTTAGGTAATTGTCAGTTTGAGTTTTGTTTTTTCAGTCCTTGTTATAAAATATTCTTACACATTTTTTCCTTTTGCACATGAGTTTCTGTTGTGTATGTGCCTAGAATTGCTGGGTCATAGAGTGGGTACATTTTTGATTTTGCTAGAGAATTCCAAACTTCTCTTCAGAATAGTGACATTGGTGTGTCAAATGGAACCAGAATCTGCTCTGAGTACATCACAAGGTTTAGGGAGGATCCAAGAAAAATGAGAGTGTGAAAACACTTTTGAAGTTGTTGACAATGCTGTGCCATGAATCGTGAGGAGGCAATTTTAAGTCAGTGTGTGGACAACAATGATCATAGGTAGATATTGGATAAATGACCAATTCTTAATGAAGTCTTAATTTTATCTACCTTAGGATCATGTCCATAGAATCAGCAAAAACGATTACATTTAAATATGTCTTCATGTTTTGTGAGGGCTTTAGATCTGATGTAAACATATAAGAAAAAAATCATTTTTAATATAGCTGGAAGAGACATAATAACATCAGTTTCTGGGCAGAAAATCAGCCCTATACAAATTCTAAAGGCCAGTTACAAACTGGACAAGTTTTAACATGGTTTAGAATGTCTTCACAGGAAACTAGCCCTGTGCCTTTGTCTCTGAGAAAAATAGACAAATGAGTCAATTATGTGTTTACAGTTTAATTCATATTCAATTATATTTTGCAGCTTAAAATGCCATTATTAAAAAAATAAGAACATAACAAAATAAATCTCACTTGGAATTTTTTTTTTTTTTTTTTTTGGCTGGTTGATTATCTTAGTGTACTTTTCTTTTAACTGTGTTTTGGTTTCTGGGTTAAGATGGTAAAAAAAACTGGTGATGATTCATCCACTTTTATTCTCCCACTGAATAATTCATGATGGACTGGAGAATCTCAATGACTGGTTCACCATACTCTGGCAGAAATTCCTACTGACTGCCATACCTTGAGTAAGAAACTCTTGGTAACCAATGCAGACTCAGACCTCTTGAAAAACGAAAAGCAGGGCCAAGTTGGATAAAAGTCAAAATTACCGTTTGCCAAATTACATTGTTGGGTTTCGTGGAACAGCTAGGACTCATATACCTAAAGATAGTGAAAAGATGTATAGAGGTTACTGAGGTTGGAAGTATATGTTGAGTTTAATCTAACACGATAATCGACAATGGCCTTTCAATGAAGATTTAAGAAATTTGGAATCTATTCTGCAGGCAGAAGGGAAAGTATTGATGATTTTGAGCAGTGACAGTAGGATCAGATGCATGTTTTAAAAGGTCTAGAACTGTAAAGAGTATATGTATATTAGGACTGGAGTGGCTGGAGGCTGGGAGACAAACTTATTGCAAGGCTCCACATAAAATCATATGGACCTCACTGAATCCTATCATCAGGTAAATACTAATAATTAAAAGGGTTTCACCATTTATAGAGCTTTCAGATGATTTATCCTTAATATTATTATCCTCACATCTGCTGATGAGCAAGCCTCTCAGGGTCTTCTGCTCCAGTTTTGCGATGGTAGCATGTTCCTGCTTCTGGTGGTGCTAAACCCTGGGCAATCATCTCTGCTAGGAACAGCTGTTCTTCGTGGTGACTGCTGTGAAACCAACAGCATGGCCTCTTTTCTATTTAGTCCTAAGAGTGGGCATAAGGTAAGCATTTGTAAGATTTTACTGAAACTTTTGGAGTATAAAAAGGAAAATGCTACACTGAATATAATTACAACTATTCAGGCACAGGCCCATCCCGGAGTCTCTTACCAAGTTGACTCTCCTGTTTGTCTTTCTTTTCTGCCTTCACGTGGCTTCAGACAGCTCACCTTCCAACCACTAGAAGTGTTTACAGCATCTCCACATCTCTCCACAAGGTGGAGTTCAAGGCCAAATTTTTCACTAGCCCCGGATACTGGAAGGAGTATTTTTTTATTCATTTGTATTCAATGTAAGGCCTGCCTCCTAGGTCTTTATTTCCTCTTCACACATTAAATCTGACAGTGGCAACGTATTCCCTGTGGAGGAAATTCTGTCTAGGCCTAAAGCAGTGTGGTCTAGCTTTATGTTTTGATAAAGACAATCACACAATATCCAATATATTTCCTACATCACATGTAGGCCATCAACAGTCTGATTAAGATGGGGCTATGTCAAATCGAACACAGCTTCTAGACATCAAGTGATTATAAACTCCGGAGGTTCTGTCTCACTCATAGCATCTGCCTTAGCTTGTTTTCTGTTACTTATAATAAAATACCTGAAAATTTATTTTCTAAAAAAATTATTTCCTACAGTTCTGGAGTCTGGGAAGTTGAGGATTGAGGGGCCACATCTGGTGAGGGCCTTCTTGATGTTAGAAACTCTGCAGTCCTGAGGTAGCACAGGGTATCATATGGAAGGGGGCTAAGTATGCTAACATGGTAGCTTAGGTCTCTCTTTCTCTTCTTATAAAGCCACCATTTCTACTTCCATGATAACCCGTCAACAGATTAATCCATTCACAAAGCCAGAACCCTCTGATTCAATCACCATACCTCTGAAAGGCCATACCTATGAATACTGCCACATAGGAGATCAAGTTTCAACATAAGTTTTGGAGGAAATATTCAAACCATAGCAGTTTCTGTGTATTTGTATGTATGCATGCACACATGTGTGTAGAGACACAGAGAGAGGACTAGAGAGGCAGAGATACCTATACATATATACACCTGTACATTAAATGCAGTTATGTACACATATACAAAGTTGTAAAAATGGAACCATAGTATATATCCTCCTTTAAAAATTTCTCCACTTAATAGGACGTAACATGTTTGTAGGTTCTTTTATGCAGAGTTACTTCTTTTATAGTATTCCATTATGTGAATAAAGCATAATTTATTTAGCAAATCCTTGTTGATACATATTGGGACAACTTTCAAAATTTGGTTATTATGAACAATGCAACCAAGAACATTGTCATACACATATTGTTATACCCGAAAGAGTTAGAAGGAAAGTGCCACACTCTGAGTTCCAATTGAGAGTCCTTTATTACCGGCGACCCTCCTGTTCAAAATCTCTCGTCCTCCTCTGATTTCCTTTTATACCTAACCTAGAAGAGAGGGGAGAAGGAGTCTAGCTGAAGCGGAATTTTACAAAAGCAGAACAAGCAAGTTAGTAGGAGGAAGCTGGTAACCAGGAGGCAGGAGGTTCCCATAGTTGCTGGTTACTAAGAGTATTTCCATCCAGTCATCAAGGAGGGTAGCCGGGGGACTTTCCTACAGTCAGTCACCAAGTGGGGGAGTTTCACAATAGCAGGTAGACTTGCCAAGCAGGATATGGTTACAAAAGTTACAGGTACTGAGAACAGGTGACCCGAACCTCAGCGGTTCAAGGCTCTGAATACAGAATGACCCAGTAATGCACCTGAGGGGACCATGGCAGGGAGGGCGAAGCTAAGCTGGAGCTTGTCAGGCTTATTTCTAAAATGAAGTCAAGTTAGTTTATTTCAATATATTATGTACTTATACATGAATTTTAATAGGATGAGCTGTTAATATAAATATTTATTTCTTATCTTTCCAGGTAAAATATTGTTAGGTACTTCCTTTGGAGTTCTAGACTCAGGATGAGATTACAGAAGATGTGCTCAACATCCTCCTTTGACCTGGTCCCAGTTTCACCATATTTGATAGATGCTTTACAGTCTCTGGTAAGGAGGTGTGGAATTCTCTGATTTTATTATAGTTTTTAGGGAATTTTATTTTATACATTTCAACAAAAAAAAATTTATAAATAACAGCTCTACTGAAAGCTGTGTTTTAAATGAAAAGATATTGGTACTTTGTGAACAAATACGGTGCTTTTTCTTTCTCTAATTATTGGCTATCGATCTTATTTTATTAAATATATACTGACAAATTTATTTTGGTCCATTTATTTGAGTTCAAAGACAATTTCATACTCTTCCCAGTGAAATAGTCATGGGCCATTGCTATCTTCAAAAGAACTAAATATATAAGTAGCAGCTCTCCTCAAAAAAAATGACAAAGTCTTCTTTTCCCTTTAGAGCATAAATTTCAGTGGCTGGTAAAACTATTTTAGCAACAATATGCTCACTTCTTCTATGATATTTTTTTCTTCTCTACTAAGTTCAAAGTTTCTCTTAGTAACCATAGCAACTCAAAATTGTTTCTCTACCTTACTGAAGTTGCCCTCTTCCACTGATCATTAGGACATTCACTTTTAGAATCATTACTGTTTCTGCCTCTTGTTTTGAAGGCAGCTTTTAATTTCCTCAAATAATTGCAATGGAACAAAAAAATTGTTCTCTTTTTTACATATGTGCACTTTTATAAGAGATGTAATGTTTTTAAATAAAAATTTTAATTCATCAAAAGCATGTCTCTAACAATGTGAGGGTTATAAAGATTAATAATAGCAGAAATATCTGTGTACCAGTCACTCAGAATAATTCTAGTTAGATATAGTTGTTGTAAGGACAAAAAAGAAAATAGATCTAAAAAGGTAAATAAGTGAGATCATTGCATTGTTCCTTACAGTTTAACAAGAGTTGTTTAGATAGGACCTGCTCCACACTTATCCAATCCTCCGTTTTCCACTGAATTTCCTTTCCAAACAATGCAAAATGTTTCCAATATCTATCACAATTTCATAAAAGCTATGATTCCCAACTTATACAAACTGTCCATCAAGATGTTTTCTCTCAAATATCACATTCTTGAGCCAAGCCATTAAAGACTTGGACTGTGACACAGTTTTCATTCTGAGGACCATACACATCTGTGTAGTAATTACCCTCACTCCCATTTAGTACCCTATACAGGGAATCCCTATGGCCTTAGGCTTACACACACAACTAGGAGCTATAAGGACCAGAAAAAGTGAAAAGTGATCCATTCAGTAAAGAACTTTCATTGCCTACCACAAGAAGAAACAATTCCACAGGAAATGGCTTAGACAGAGTCATCCCAAACCCAAGCCAGCTCTATTGGCTGGAAATCAACTGTGGAGTGCCAACCCACACTAACCAGCCAGCCATACCCAGCGCTTTCATTCTCATAAAAGACTAAACTACTGTAAACCCAAAATAAAATTATTAGCCCCCCACCTCCACAAGCCATCTGAATGGACATCCTCTTCTGCCAGTGTACTCTAAAATTTAACCTGAAAGACTGGTTCAGGATATGACAGAAAGTTGGGAGGTGGGGAGGGGTCAGACCTGCCTCATTATATCCTCCAACATTAACATAAGCACAGACCTTAAATGTGATAAGAAACATAATGTATTCTCTCTGAAGCCTTCTACCTGGAGGCCCCATCAGGATGATGAAACTTTGGTGTCTACAACCTCATACTATAATCCAGACATTGCATTTTATTGATAATAACTCTTTCAACCAGTTGTCAATCAGAAAATTTTTAAATCTGCCTATAAATTGGAAGTACCCCCCTTCCAGTTGTCCCGTCTTTCTGGACTGAATCATTGTATATCACAAATGTATTTAAATGATGTCTCATTTTTCCCTAAAATGTATAAAATCAACCTACACCCCGACCATCTTGGGCACATGTTCTCAGAATATCCTGAGGGCTGTGTCACAGGCCATAGTCACTCATATTTATCTCAGAATAAATCTTTTCAAATATTTTACAGAGTTTGACTTTTTCTCCACACTATGCCCCTATCCTCTGTCCCCAGTCACCACAAAAACACAACCCCCAGCTCCACTTACACCCCTATCCCTCACCCATCCACTCAACAAACCCCACCCACACCTTCACACAGCATTCCACTCTTATCTCCCAAACTCAAGAACAAACCAATCAGCCGCCACCCCCACCCCCTGCACACATTGCAGCTCAGCCAATCAGACGGTGTCTTTCTGAGGGTCCTGTCAGCCGGCCTTTTTCCCTACCTGGGGGATTTACCACACAATAGAGCCCAGTATACAAGTGTAAAGCCAATTTCTCCTGGGCCAGTACCAGCCTGAAAAAAGGGAGGGGCCAGCCTAAGGGCCTCATCTGCTAGGAAAGGTTCCCAGCTATTCCCACTTGGAAAGAAGCCGGGAGAGATCAAAATTCGAGCTGATTTGTTAGTTCTCACTCTTCTGCCCCTATCCAGACCTCTGCCCTGTTGCTTTGTAGGGCAAGTTTTTGTTTGTTTTCCTTGTCAGCTGCCTAGAAACCCTGCCTGCTGCCTAGACAGAAAAGTTTCTCAAGACAGGGGAATTGCAAGGGAGAAAGAGTAATTCACACAGAGGGGCTGTGTGGAACACTGGAGTTTTATTATTACTCAAATCAGTCTCTCCAAGCCTTCCCTAGGATCAGAGCTTTTAAGGATAATTTGGTGGGCAGTGCTGATTGGTCGGATTGGAGATGAACTCATAGGGGGTCAAAGTGAGTTTCTCATGCTGCCTTCTATTCCTGAGTGATCACAGAACTGGTTGAGCCAGATTGCCGGTCAGTTGGTGCCTGGAGTATAGGGTCTGCAAAATATCTCAAACACTGATGTTAGGCTCTGCAATAGTGATATTATTCCAAGGAGCAATTTCGGGAGGTTCACACTCTTGCACCCAGAGACTTCATGGCCCCAAACCATAATTTCTAATCTTATAGCTGATTTGTAAGTCCTAC